CGCGCTGAGACCGCGCATGCGTGTTGCGTGCGCTGAGTCCCCTCGGAGAATTGAGCCGGAGTTCCTCAGCTGGTAATTAGACGCTCCGGAGGGTCCTTTCCCACCCTGTTAGTGCTTTTGAGGACGTCCTTCGAGAAAAGGGAAGGGGCCAGCATCTCACAGAGGTTAAAAATACTCCCCTCTCCATAGTCTGCCTAAGTCAATAGACGCCTTAAATACCACAAAACTTTCAAAACTGGTTGACGTTTTTAAAAAAGAATTGGGAGCAATAAGGTCTTGGCTTTTGTTTTGTTGTTAGGGTGCACACCAGCAAAGCTTTCCTACGAATTTAACCTTATTAGGCAAGAATTTATACCCGTGGCGGGAGGGAGGCTGGTCGCTAGGCATTCGTCCCGGAGAATTCCGTGGAGTCCTGGATCGCAAAACGGAGGTTGAAAGTCTTGCGTTCCAAAGAAACTGGAAAAGTCCAAGGAGGGAGGACAGCGTCCTCCCATCCCCTGCCCCAAGCCCGAATGGCCCGGAGGTCGCGTCTCTCCGATTTAGAAAGCGAAGAGAATAAGAAAAGGAGAAGGGAAACTGAAGAAACGTGGAAAAAAGAAGTAGCAAAAGGAGGGATGGAGGAGGAAGAGAGGCAGACTCCTTGCATTGATTAGGTAAAACGAATTACAAACAAAAGTTTGGTAACTGACGCCTAGCTTCAGTGCAGCATGATGCATACAAACTTTTGTAGCCATGGATCAGAATAAAACAATGTGTCGACAATTTCCAGCAGTGGAAATTCACTTACACCAGTCTCCCCCCACCCTCCCTCGGCCCCCCGCCCCCGCCAAGTGTTGACAATAAACATTTAATGAAGGCAGAGACCTGGCTGTCTCCAGTCGGTGTCAGAATACTTTAAGCAGACCATTAGCACGGCTTCTTCCACTTCAAACATCGCGCGCTACATTCTAACATTATATATTAAAAAACAAAACAAAAGTGTGAGACAAATAATATGTTTATACGGATATCTTAAGTGGTCTGCAGTTCTGATACCCCTGTACTTATTAACAGAAACTAACTCATTGTAGAGCACTCGCGCTTAAAAAATGTTAAATACAGTTAATGCAATATTAATCGCCCTTTGGTGATATAAAATGCAATATTTTCAGGCAGCTATCGAGCTTTTCTAGAGGAAGAGCTGATGAAAAGAGTCACAGCTGAATAGTGGAGAGAAAAAGCCCTGTATTTATTGCTTTTGTTTGGCTTTTGGCTACAGAGACAGGAACCTTCTAATGGGGTAAGGACATTTATTTTATCTGCAATCTATTGCTGCGAGAGCAGGGGCGGCAGATGGGGCTGGTGCGATAGTCACAGTATAATTTAGAGCAAATCCTAATAACTAATAATGATTTATGTTAATTTTGATCACTTATGCGACTTTACCAAAGCGTTGTGATGAAAGAAAGAGAAAGAGAAGCAGAATGTGACGAGGAGCTCTGAGGCTGAGATTGGAGCTCAACTATCCTGCTTAAAACGTGTTTTATGAGTTAGCAATGGAAATACAGGCATTTAAAAAAGCAGGTCGGATCCATTTGACTCTGGGCAGAGGTATATCCCCAGGGCTTTCATTTCCTCCGGAAAGATACCTAAATCAGAGGAACCGTGATGCCTTTGAGCGGGAGTCTCTTTCATTCCAGTTTTAAAGAAAACAGATATGTTCCAATTGTTTCATTTGCTTATATTCAACTAAGGGTGTGTGTGTGTGTGTGTGTGTGTGTGTGTGTGTGTGTGTGTGGTAGGTAGGTAGTAGTGTGGAGACGTCGTCGGTAGGTTAAGAACTCGACGTCGTAGCCGTACT